TTATATCGTCCAACATTATTACTTGTTTCTCTATATCAGATTTTTGTCCTTTTAGTCATTCCATCGTTCTTTCGTAACTTAATCTTTCTGGTAAATCCTTTTCTCGTAGTTCCAGTCTTTCCAACGTTTCCTTTCTTGAATCGTTTGCACTCATATTTCTTTTTTCGACCACTTTCAAGCTTTGTTATGAGCTAATGAAAAAAAAATGCGAATAAGAATTATTCTTTCCCACTTCTTTCTTAATTGAATACGAGTTACTTGCTTCTTTCTTGATCAAATCCTTAGGTCGCTTCTTTCTTAATCGAATCCTTAGATCGTTTGTTCGGATACGGCTGGTTGGACCAAATTTTGTCGCCGATTTTCTTCAACCGTGACAAAAACTGAGGGTTCTTTCTGCCTCTTTAGTTGGTAATACCTCAAAACTTGGGTTATTAGACTTTTATTACGATAAATTTATTAATACAACAACAACATCGACACAACAAAGTAATAACAAAAACTAAGAACGAAAAGATTAAATCACGGCCGATATCCTCCCCTCCAATCAATCGACCTGTCGAAACGCGTCTTTCGAAATGATTTGGCGCTCAGGATCTTCCGTTTCTCCGAGTGGGAGGGTGCTTGTACCGTTCATGATTACAAAAATTAGCTTCCTCATGGAACGCACATTGTTAAGGGTTAAGACGATATGAGCATATACAGCAAAAATATCTGGCTTTCAACAAAGGGAGTTATTGTTTCTCTGTTTCCATTCGCGATATCAGCGACAACAGCAATTTTGTTAAAACATAAAATATCACTTGGTAAATCTCAAATATGTAGCAAATATCTTCTTTTTTCCTCTCCAACCGCTCCTTTTCACCCTATTCTCTAATTTTATTCTAAATTTTGTCATTGCTAAAATATGATAAAATATTCTAAATTTTATCATTCTATTCTAGTTCTATTCTAAAATTTGTCATCATTGCTATCAATGATGATAAAATTTGTTGAATTTTCTGCGAGATTTTCTTCAATATCAGCATTAACTTCATGCTGTGTATGAAATAGCAGCAAAGGTGTTGGAATTGTTGTTAGCATATTACTTTTCAGTTTGATATCACTCCAACAATTACATGACGAAACAGATTGCATACATCAAGGAAGGTATTAAATGATTATTTCATAATAGCTTATCAAAGGTCAATTATGTCAAATTATTCAAAAAATCAAAAAAAAAATTATGCGACACTCCTGAGATATGGAACGATAATGAAATATTTGTAAATGAGTCAACAATAACGATATGGTAGGCTTTATTTATTTGCAAGACTTAGTCTTATTATACATATGCTAAATTGGCCACAGACAGTTACCAAAAATACCGAAAAAAAGTTACTGAAAAATCCATGATCTCTTCGATTACGGGCAGAAATCTGTGTCACCAAAAGCTAGTAGAAGAATAAAGGTTATCAAATGACCTGGTCATGAACATAAATCCACAATTCTAATTGTGCAATGTATATTTTTCCTTTTTATTTTAAAATTAGACAAAGACAGTCCTACTTGATGATGAGAACATAACAGGATGTTTATAGGCTCCTACTTTTGATTGAAAAATTTCCCAATTTTATATCCTAAGCTCTATGATCTGACAATTAAACCTCAATCTCCAGAATCTCATAATTAATCCTTAATCTATAACATGTAATAATTAGTCCTTAGTTTCCATAATTTGATGATTGATCTATATATAACTGGTGAAAGAAGCAAAAAAAAAAAATTTGTCTTTAAATGTCTTAATTTTTCTTTTTCTTTTTTGAAATTTCTCGTTTTTCTATTAGTTTTCTGGGACAAAAAAAAGATTCGTAACAAAAAAAATTCTCTAAATCTATGATATTATTTAATATTAGCATAACTAAGACAATACATTTTTAGGAAATATATTTCCTACTTATTCATTTCATGGCTTACTTGATGCACGTTTGAATGCTTGAGTTGATGAATTGTGCTCAAATATGAGATAACATTTCGTGTTGTTTCTAATATCTTTTATTTTTATAATTTACATATATATATATGTCAGAAAAGCATATTAGAATTATATTTTTAAAAAACGAAAAAATTGTAGTGCTTACAAGCATAATTAATGTATACAAATGTGTATATTAGTGATAAAATACATCCATTCTTGCAAACTTTTGCAGCCACTTTGTTGTTATATTTGAATAAAATATGTTTAGTAATTGTTGCACAGTAATGCTCTCTTCAGTGATAATTCATCATAAGCGTTTGTTCAGCTTGAAAATGCGACGTTATCTGACCAAACATTGTTAGACTAATACCATTAAAAATAAACAATTTATTATTTTCATCATTTGAAATTAACATTTTTTTTTGATTTCATTAGGTTTTTTTTCTTTTATTCTTACTTGCTACTATAGTTTATGTTTAATAATTGCTGTTATGTAAATATTAGCAGAAGTATTAAATCATTATTACCCACTCTTAACCAAATGACGCAAACACGACGACAGCTTGTTGTAATTTCACCGTTTCATTAGTTCAAATTGCAGCCTAATCGGATGATGAATTTTATTGAATGTAATAAGCAAAATTAAATGGAAAAATTTGCCACGAAAAATAATCAAAATGAAGATTTATTTAGAAGGAAAAAAGATTATTCGAGAAGAATTAGATAAAATACAATAAAAACTACAGTAATCAAATTTATTTTTTTTTTTAAAAATATTTTTCTATTCAATAATATTTTAATCGTACTCAATGTTTTATTTTATTCTTATTTAACGAGAAATTTTTTTTTACATTTATCACTTCATTTTAGTCATTCGTTTTTCTTTTCTGTCTCATTATTAGCAATTTTAAAAGTATTTAAGTGGTAGGAAAAGTTGCTTAATTTAATGTAAATGGTAGGAGGCAGTAAATATTGCATGTAATAGTTGAAAACTTATCAAATGCCCATTTTGTAATAATAATCGTAAAGTGTCGCCGAGTTTAATTGCTGCCCAAAGTTTGAAACTATGAGAAGTTTGATCGGAAGTTTGACGTTGATTAAAAACATAAAAATAATGATGGTTTTATTTGTTTTGCTTGTTTGCTTCAAATATTGTAGTACTCGCAAAATTCGGCGATAAGTATTTTAGATAAAAATAGCATGGAATTAAACAAAATATTAATTTAATTACCACCATTAATCAATTCGAAACTTATTGAAATTATAATGATCTGGTTGTCATAGAAACAATAATTATTAATTTTAATTTAAACTATGCAAGATATTTCTTCCATATTGATGATACAGTATCTATATACATGTGTAGTATCTATCTATGATATAGTATCTACAAATATGAGAAATAGTGAAAAAAAAATTTTATTTAAACAGTTGAAACGCACAATTTTGCAATTGCATTTTCTGTTTCTTTCTTTTGTTTATGGAAAAAATAAAAATAGATATAAAATGAAATACAATATTTATCCAGCTTGAATTCAACCTATTCCATTTTTAAATGCGAGAAAAGCTGTTAAATACTAATTCATTTCATATTTGAGCTAATTATTCCCGCTTTTCAATTAATTGCTTCATTTAATCGTGATCAAATAATCATGTTGATAGCTCATAGTGTTGTATTCATCATCACAACCTTTGCCTTTTTTGATTACATATTACCTGGTTAGTTAATTTTTTCATTAGAATAAAAACAGTGATTTAAAATACAAATTAATGAATCCTAAGTTTATAAATCTTCATCCTTAGACAATAATTAAAGAGTGCTTTTTTAAAATTAAATCAAAGTGAAAGTTAAATTGTAAAATATTAATATAATAAATACATCCGGAAACTTTGCAGTTAGAAATGACTGAGAACTTTAATTTCGCTAACACATACCAAATTAGTATGATGTCTTTTATTTGTTTCTTCTCATCTTTTTTTTCTTCTTTTTTCATTCAAGTCTTTCCATTACCAACGATTCTTTTCTGGTTTTTTTAAGAATTTTAATGTTTTACTGCTAAATACTTCATCTTCGTTAGTCTTCATTTTTCTATTTGCAATGATTGAACAAGAATTTTAAACTGAATCAAACGAAAACACGTATTAAGCAAATTAACAATAATTAGCTCCTTGTGCGATGTAATATTAAATTCCAAAGAGTTCATATTCTTCCTAAAATTTTAAGTTTATTATTAACTTTATGTTTTCAATTAAATAAGGATAATAAGAATTCAGTAGCAACAACAACAACAACAACAACAACGACAACAACAACAACAACAACAACAACAACAACAACAACAACAACAACAACAACAACAACGACACCAGAATGTGTGGATCGTAGTGCACCAGGACGACCTAGTGATTGCCCAAGAGCGAAACATTTATGCGACAATCCTTTATATTACAAATTAATGACGGAACAATGTCCACTTACGTGCAATCGTTGCCCGGGTACCAGTTATAGACCGGTGATTCCATGGCAAGGTATTTCAAAACCGCTATTTTCACGAGAATATAATATGTAAAATTACAGAAATGAAGATAAGGTATTCGTTGATAATAATATAATCTTATCAGAAATCAGCAACTTTTTGATATAGTTTGTCAACAGAACTAAAGAAAATCTTTAACCAAAAAAAGCTAAGCTAATTTGGACATGAAATTAAAAATTATCAAATATGACAAAAGAATGAACAATAAACAAACGGAATGGAAAACCAATTACAGAATTAATTAAAATGAAGGTTTATT